ACCGGCCTCGCCCGCCTCCCTGCCGCGGGTCACCGCTCCCCGCCCCTCCCGCCTCCGTGCGCCCGAGCGCAGCGGCCTGGAGACGCAATCCGCCGTCGCCAGACTCCCCCGCCGCCCGATGGCCTCCGCGTTGTTTAAACAGGATGAAAATGGATCTCTTGACTGATCCTTTAATGATTTTTTTTTTTTTACACCCACAATTAAACTCTCAACAGATGTCGCTGGACTTTTTACAGACTGTTGTTAAAAACCGTAAACGTTGCGCGGTCAATGGGACATAAAACAATTCTAACTGCGGCCGCAGAGATCGCATTTCCGAACTCCCAGGCCCGCACCCGGGAGGTTAATGTCCCCGAGTCGATATCACCGTCGAGGTGCAGTTTCCATCCCCGTCAATTAACGTGGGCGCGGTGGACAGGGTGCCCCGAAGGGATGCCTGGAAGGCGCTGGGGAGAAATGCTGCGATCCTACTTCAAAGCAAACGTTTAAACTGATAAATCATTATAACTTCCTATCTCTCCACAGCGCAAAAAATACTCAGGCAGGCACACAATCAACAAATAGATGCCCCTTTCCACATATGCCAGCCGGCCAGAAATTACGTCCGGGGTCCGCAGAACTCGNAGGTCCGCAGAACTCCTTGGCATTTTTTTTTCAGCTGGGAACCCCAATGTAGCTCTGGACTCTGTTAGTGCATTTGCCACAAGTGAGGGGGGGCTCCCCAAACACTGGGGGGCCTGTCATCCCTGCCCCCTTTAGGAAGGGCTCAGTAAGGGTCACCGGTTAATTCCTGAGCTTTGTTATCCCACCGAAACTAACACATGTTCTGTTGTTTTTTAATAAGTTTTTATTGATTTCAGAGAGAGGAAGGGAGAGGGAGAGAGAGAAACATCAATGAGGAGGGTCATTGATGGGCTGCCTCCTGCACGCCCCCTGCTGGGGATCCAGCCCACAACATGGGCATATGCCCTGACCGGGAATCCAACCGAGAGCTCCTGGTTCATGCGTGAGGCTCAGCCGCTGAGCCACACCAGCTGGGCACTGACCCCTGTTCTAAGTGGTCCTGTCCTGTTCCGCTGGGTCTAGGGCCAACCAGAGAGACGCAGAATCCACCAAATGCAAAATAAAAAAGCTCAGTCTGGCTGCCCCGTGGAGGCTCTGGCTCCTGCCCTTCCGGGCTCAGCTCAGATGGTGTCCATCTCCTGGTGGCAGCCGCCCCTTTTAGTGCTTTGCTGGCCTGGATGCCAGCCTGGTAGACTGGACGGCCCCAGGGACCGGGGTTCAGGGAGCCAGAGAGAGGGAGCTCATGAGAGGAGTCCTACTGTAATCTCTGTAAATGTCGCTGGCTTTTCGGTAAAAATTTATAATAATTTTATTGGCTGCGCAGGGGTTGAAATCAACAGAGGGCGGACAGTCAGGTTGTTCACGACCTGCGCAGGCTCAGGCGGATGCTGGCTGGAGGAGAGCGGCGCCCACTGAAGAGACTTTAAAGTTCTGTTTGCAAAGTTTCCTTTCTCTTTCTTTGGTTTTTTTTTTGTGTGTGTGTGTGTGTTTCTGGTTAATCTTCACCGAGGTTATTTTTTTCCATTGATTTTTTTAGAGAGAGTGGAAGGGAGGGGGGGAGAGAGAGACATCAGTGTGAGAGAGACACATGGATGGGTTGCCTCCTGCAAGCGCCGGGCAGGGGCGGGAACCCTGCAACCCAGGCGCCCTAAACGGGGATTCAAACCCGTGACCCCTTGACCCACACGCCAGGCCGAGCTCTAACCACGGAGCCGAACCGGCCAGGGCCGTTTGCAAAGTTTCTGTTGATGAATTCGGATTACAGAAACGATCATCTGCTCGCCCCTCTGTAGTTTCCACAGCCCCCTAATTCCCGAGCAAGCCCGCGGCGGGCGCTCTCTGAGGATGGGGGCGTTGGTGACGCGGAGGGGAACCCACCCCGCAGTTGCGGTTTCCTAGGCAGACCCAGGAGGCGCCTGGGCAGACGCTTTCCCTGCCTGCGCCCTGCAGGCCAGGCTGCCGGGCCTCGGCCCCTGCGTGCCCTCCCTCTGGGGAGCCCTTTCCCTCGGAGCCCACCGCTTACAAATCCTGTTCGTGCCCTGCACTGCCCCTCCTGGGGAACTTGCCCTGACGCCTGCACGTGGATTCTGCACCGTCCGCCTGCAGAGGCACCACCCTGGGCCTGTGAGTCGTGCTGAAGGTGGCGTTGTCTTCACCGTGGAGCTGGCTGAGCCTGGCCCGCGGGCACAGCATAAGCACGTCGAGGGACCGCGCGCCTGGGGCCACGTAGGTGCTTAATGGATGAATAAGTGATTGAGGGGATGAGCGAATGAATGGACGAATGAATGATGCTGAGAGAGATGCATTCTGGTTTTGGAAAGATGGGCTCGTAATGATGGCCATAGAAATGAGATGTCTGCACTTCACTCCCGGGCCCACACGTCCCTTCCCCTCCGTTGCGGTCGGGTGGACAGGGGCCTGGATTGGAACTGCGTCTGGGTTTCAGACCTGGGTCCAGCCCTTAGCAGCCCCGTGACCTTGGGCCAGTTACTCAACAGCTCGGCCCCCGTCTCTTCTTGGGTGATGAATTATACGGTTCTCCAGCTGCAGAGAAAATCACCTTCAGTTTTCGTGACTCCGGAGCCCGCTGACTTCTCAATACTCCGCGTTGTCTCACCCCGGGACAGTGTCCCCTGCAGCAGCGGCCGGAAGTCAGGAATGACACTGTCTGGAGCCTGGGACACAGGCGCAGGGGACTCGGGTGCCACCGGGGTCCAGCCGTATGGATAACTATTGTGTCAAGATTGTCACTCTGCTTCCTACAAATTGGGTGGCCAGGCCCTGTAGTCACTCACCCAGCAGCTTGGAGTCCGCGAGTGTACCTGGGAGACACCTGCGCACACGGGCAGGCTCCGGCCTGTGACCAGCTGCCCCTGCGCATCTCCTTGGATGTCGCCAGGCACCTTCGCTCCAGGCGTCCTCGCCTGAGCTTGATGACCTCTATAAACACCTGTTTCCAAGTGAGACCATGTTCTGAGGCGCTGGATGTCAGGACTCTGACATACGGATTTGGGGGTCGGATTTCCAGCATAAGAGCCAATCAGGAGCTTGGCTGTCACTCACTCTGGGTCTCACGAGTATTTATTAAGCCCTGACGTCATGCCGGTCCCTGTGCCCGGCACCGTAACGCCCCTCGGTTTAGCTCTCAGTCCTTGTTTCTGCTTTGTGCATCTAGTCCCGTGGAGACAGGAGCTGCGGGTTCGAGGCCTGGCAGGTGCCCGCCTACCTAATGGCCTATGTAAGGAAGGAAAACTGGTGAGTAATGACATCCACCTGCAAGGAACCAGGCCCCAGCCTGGCGTGGTTCCCCCGGCCTCGCAGCCCTGACGCCCCGCAACGCCAGGGGCCTGACCGTGGGCCTGCGGGCAAGTTCAGCGGGAGGCCGGAGTATGGGCCAAGCCCCGGGTTTAGGTCTCTCTGGGGACCGCGCGGATAAAAACCCTTTGACTGCCTCGCAGCAGCCCCCGGGGAGAACCGCAGTTACGCAGTTACGAGTTATGGATAACATAACAAGGAAATGGTCATTATTATAATCACGAGAGGCGCCACGAACGGGCCTTAACTGCAATAATTACGAATTTATTGGGGAAATTAGAAGCTGGTTCAAGGCTTGTGAATCAGGGAGGAGAGGGAGGGACGCGTGCGAGCAGCTGTGTGACCTTGGAAGTTCCGAACATCTGCCTGGCGCGGTGGGAGAAGCCTTTCAAAGAATTGCTGATCCAAGCCGTTCCCCCAGGGTGGCTCCTGGGGCACCAGACAGACAGACAGACAGACAGAGGAGCCCACGACACCCGGGCCCCTGGGGCCGTTCGGAGGCTCCCAGCCAAGCCCCGAGCAGACCCGGAGGGCGG